TTGTAGTTGTAGTTGTAGTTGTAGTTGTAGTTGTAGTTGTAGTTGTAGTTGTAGTTGTAGTTGTAGTTGTAGTTGTAGTTGTAGTTGTAGTTGTAGTTGTAGTTGTAGTTGTAGTTGTAGTTGTAGTTGTAGTTGTAGTTGTAGTTGTAGTTGTAGTTGTAGTTGTAGTTGTAGTTGTAGTTGTAGTTGTAGTTGAAGTTGAAACTCAATTGTAACACAACAAGTTAGAACAGAAGATTGAAACTTGTATAGAGAAGACCAATAAAGACCTTTATAAATCAGCGAGTCCTTTTAAAGCCTGAAACACTTAATTAGCGGGCTAGCTGTGCTATTCATTGAGAGAAAATCTTTTGCTAAGCTTGGCCGGATCACGCTTTACAAGCGTCTAGTTSTATTGATTATAAGTTCACTGTCAAGCTGATTAGAATAACAATATGAAAGTACTATTAATTAAAATGCACCAATGTACACGAGAGCTCAGTCAAATAATAAATAATTTGTAAATATACTGTTGATTTAATTTACAGGCAAAACGTCCTTTTACAAATTGTAAGTTGCATGTACATTTTGTAAATATCTTGTATATCATGCTCGATCAATAAATGGTAAATATTTTCGGTTTAATATTTATGTAGTTGTTAGTCGCCTTATTATTGGACCAAAGAAAAGATGCTTTAAATACAATGTTTACGAATACCCAGTGCATTGGTAAAGTTAGTCGTCCACAGAATTAGTTCATACAGGCAAAATGAAGAGTATGTTGTAATTATTACAAAAGTATATTTATGAAATAAGACAAATTTTACATCGTAAAAAGTATGTGAAAAAACTGACGTTTCTGAAACGCTTGTCTGTAAGTATTGCTTAAAAGAAATCTTTTTAGTCTGAAACGTATTAGCAATAGGTCATCTATTTACTCCGACGAATGACTATTTTAAAAGTCTGAAACGTCAGTTAGTTATTTCCCATATTTTTACGGTTTAAGATTTATCTTATTTCACAGCTGTTTCTTTTACTTAGTTTCAATTGTTTCAAAAAACATAGACACTTCTCAAACTAGTTTACAATCGCAAAAAATATATTTTTGAATTATATTCAAATCAAAAGTAAACTATAGTAGGTTTTTTTTCATATTGTATAATTTGTAAAGCATACTTTTCTTTTTATTTGCAAATGCTGTACATGTAATTTGAATTAGAATGAAGATTTTGATTCACTGTTATTAATATCTATTTTCGATTCTGATTGCGATGTAAAAATACCGAATGAACAAATATCCGCATATTTCGATTGACCTCATGTCAATCAAGTTACTCAAGACCAATATATTTGACAATCTGAATCCTATCAAGCATGATATTGTAGCTCTTTTTTATTGCTGAATAAAAGTTTGGGAATTACGAATTTATTCAACAGTATAATCATGACGCCTGAATGGAATAAGATATGGTGACATGTGCCGCTACACAATTGCTCTATGAAACATTATTGATAGCACTACGTCATACAAGATCATATACACCCAAAGTATCTCAATCATTTCAGATACGTATGACATGACGTACGAAAATAACCTTATTAATATGCATATTTTTTAATGAAAAGATGATTTCTTCTCTAGACACAGTATTAAAATACATTGATACATAGAAWTGTCATCTTTAGCTTTATAAAACGATTAATTAAGGGAGCAGTTTCGATACGTWAGCTTTAACTGACACGCTTCACAAAACAAATATGAATTGATTATGTAAATTAATTTACTTTCATGCGGAAGCTAAGGATGACCCCGTTCGTCAGCAGAGAAACACCACAAGCAGATCTTAATGTCTGTCAKCCTAATAGAACTAGTTTWAWTGGTTTTATTCAAAGCATAGCACCAAGTTTAAAGMAAACCGAAACTTARGAAGTTTAATTTACTRRRCAGAGAGTTTAAACGGCTRCTAGACTACTGCAACAAACATTGATGAAATTGGAGCATATCATCAAAGAACAAATGGACTAATAGGAATTATTCTGTGTAAAAGCTTACATATCTCGTACATTAACGGAGAGATGAAGGTTTTTGTCCAAGTATTGCTTCTTGGTTTCATTTTGGGAATCCGGATGCAAGCACAAGACTACAAATATAAAATTATTAGAAGGAGTNAATCACATTGTGAATTATATATCCGGTAGCCAATCACATTACGTTGTGTATTCCGAACGCTGTAGCCTGTCGATAATCCCGTTCGCAACATTTCCAACTCGTTCTGCACAATGTTTTATCCGCCATTTTGATGAATATTGTCTCTACTAACGAATATGGAACAGAACATGAAGGTTTACGACCAAAATCTGGAACTCATTACTTGTCTGGGTGTTCGGACCAAGGGTATGTTGAATTGTGATGACGAGGAGATCTCACTACAGAGATCAACACGCTTACTACTCGTGAAGCAACGGCAACGATATAGTGATTGGGTTCCAATGATTGAATATCAATACAACTCTTTTACAACCACATATAAGCTTATCGCAAAAATCACATATATCTTGGCAAGGCTCGATGGATCAAATCATTTCTTTATTCTGTATCAGTAAGGCTTTAATAAGGCCTCATTTACTAATGATCTCACAACATCATGCACAACAAAGGGTACGTGTCAACCCTGCAAACAGGGTCTAGTTAATATTTTGATCAAGCCAATAAACATTTATACACTGACTACATAATGTCTTGCGTTGCTAAAAAATGAATAATGTATCACTTTTATTCTAGGATGTTCGTTTGAAACGTTTTGGAGAAAAAATAATAATTCTGTCCTTGAAATGGTGGTTCCCAGTCGCAGCGTCGAAAACCGATACATTGAAACTAATCTCAGGGAAATTTGCGCGCTTGAAAGTGAGATTTCATATTTGACATGTTACGGCAAATGGGAACAGTCATTTACAAATGGAAATAATGCCTTTGAACTGGACGATATGGCACCATTACATTTGGAAGTAAGTATATCATGATACAACATTCAATGAGTATCATAAATTATCGCTCTCGATCACTCAAATTTTATCTTACACTTATTGCTCAAAACACGTCTTAACGTTTTAAAAGCGTTTGGGCATAACTGAATCTCAATTAACCTCGTGGAAACAAAAATTGACTACTAATAAGTGTAATGGTCAAAGACAAGAAAAAATACGCAGTCAAGGACTGCATATGGCCAGTGCCTTATACTTATAGCAGAATTTTGTAGCGAAAATCGTTTGGTTTTGTCATAAATCAGCCAATAATCTTGAATTATATACCTCCTTTCATGTCCGTTGGATAATAATCAGTTTTGTGCATAATGCGAGCGTTTTAGCTACATTTTAGAGCCATTTAAAAAGAGAAAACTGTTTACCGCCGTCTGTCCGCCATTTTGTTCCAACTGCATGCTAACGAGAGGAGAACCGAGTGGAAATACGAGCTTATCCCGAGAAGAACCGAATGAAATACGAGCTTTTTCCGAATTACACTCACTCAAGGGTGATGACAATATGGCTAGCCTCTCTTAGGCACTAGCCACAAAAACATTGTAAACTCATGAATAATTAATGAGGAAAACACAATCGAAATCACAACCGTGAGGAGTGTTGTAATATTTGATGCAAAACTGTCTTGATTTGTATAAACCTTAAATCTAATTTTCTCAGCCAAATTCAATTTTATCTTTTAGTAGATTATCAATGTATATACCTAAACGTTTCCTTCGGCTCAAGATTGTAATTGATGAAAATATTCAGTAATACACAGTACCGATCGAATCCTACTTTTTGATTGCTGCTTGATTACAGCAGCTCTTTTGTCAGGTCATGATACCCATTCCGATCGGTGCTGACTGCCCCAAAAGATTAATACATTTATCTTTGTTACCATATACAGTACAAGGATACAGACACCTTTAACTCATACAGTCCAGATATATATGGACGCGTAGTAAAACTTAACGTGAGATGCCCGTCTCATCCTTCAGATGGAAACAATCAAAGGAGACTTTGCTTTTTGTTGAAAGTCAAGGGAAAGCAAAATTGTAAGTAGCAGATCAGTAAATTTTAATATTGCTAAGAATAAGGAAAATTACAGTTGTTGTTACAGTTGTTTAAGAAATTAAAATTTCTTTCACCTACTACTATTTGATTTTATTAATAAAGGCAAAGTTGTCTTACCAACTACTTCGAAGCCAACCGCTACCACGCAATTGGCATCCTCAACGACATCTTCGACATCTTCTTCAACGAGTTCATCAACGACTTTATCAAATGAGGAAACAATGGCTTCCAGTACGACAGCAGCCGAAAAGGCTATAACACCTTCATCACAGGAGTTGACGACAACACAACCAAGGATAGATATTTCGTCATCGATATCCAAAGATGTAAGAAATATCATATTTTCCCTTAAGTTGAAAAACTTGATGTTTTCACGAGTGGAATATAATATATAGCTTTTGAGCAGTATCATTGATATCTATACAATAAAAAGTACATGACATGGTCCCTATGAGATATGAATTTTATCTTCTCCTGTTCAATAAGGTTCTCAAACGCTCACTCACTTGTGAGAGACCTTTTCAACACTCGAAGATAAACTTCGTTTTTCCGCGTACTCATGTAACAACTTCTATATATAAACGCAGTCTGATGAACTTGTTTTATTCTTATCTACTTGTTTCCTTATTGGGATCATTTTTAAACATTCCCAGCTTGCAAATCTCTCTTTCTCTCTCCCTACAGTTAGGTAATTCAAGATACAAATTGTATTCAGTCAGTCGTACTCAGCAAAAAAAAATTCATACTTGTTATATACTTATCATGATTATCATTTAATCGTTATATACATATATAACAGATTCATAAACAATTAGCAATATTTTTTTGAAGACAACAAACTCACCTCAGAAAACAGGAGGAAAAAGTGCCAGTACAAACGATACCAGTGGTGGTGCTATTGGTGGTGCCATTGGTGCAGTGGCTGCACTGGTCATCATTGTAGCCATACTGATTGTTGCACTAAGAAGAAAAAAAAGGTAATCAATAAAAATGAAGTAAACTAGAAAAGACATTACATGATCTACAAAGGATGCCGAGCACAATTGAGAGTCCATGGCTGAAAATCATAAAAATCATCCTCATAGGTCTATAAATAGGCTATGGAAAACCACATAAAAACTAATACAGTATCTCAATTTGAGGCAAAGGCAACTGTGAAATAGATTACTATTGTATGAACAAGAAGGCAGCTTGCGCTGCATTCAAAGTTTACTTTTCTAAACATTAATTCAATCTGCAGAAATTCCCAAGCCAACAAGCGAGAGTCAGTTGCTCGTATAACAGGTATGTACATGTACTATCATTAGTGCATTTTTACTGATATACAGTATAATAGAACTATAAGTACTAAAAATATCCCTTACTTGTATGTAAAATGATAATGTCACTACCTACTGATTTCTTTTCAAATTATTATGTATTAAAGATGATCCTCTTTACAATAACGCGATGCCAAACAATGAACAATTGGAATTCCCAGATGATGACGAGTATTCGTACGCCTATACAAACAACCATCCTATTGTAATCAAAGACCAAAATGGCAAAGGTAAGTTCGACGTTTATTTATTATAACAACCTTTCGAAGAACAAGAATCAATACCAACGTTATTTAACTATAATAACATGATCGATTTATATTGTAGCAGTGACAGGCTCAAATGTTGCTAATGGCCATAACAGAAACATCAATGGTGTCTTGGGTTCTCCACCAAACCAACAAGCTCCCGTCTATAGCACTCTGGAAGATCCTAATTACGCTAAACTTCAAAAATCCGCCAATACGTCCAATGGGCCTTCGTACAACACTCTTGAGCGCCCAGAAAATCAATGGACAACAAAACAAGGACCCGTTTATGATGTGCTGCAAGACCCAAACACTTTACCAAATAAGAATGGTCCAATTTACAGTACGCTAAAGGACCCAAATGAACCTTCGTACAACACTCTTGAACGCCCTGAAAATAAATGGATGACCAAACAAGGACCTGTGTATGATGTACTGGAGGACTCAAATTCTACTGGTGGTCCAGTATACAGCGTACTTGAAGCACCCAATTCGAATGATAAGCAAGTATATGATGCCCTTGAGGGTCAAGACCCTAATGTATATGGCTCCCTTGATAGTCCAGACCCTCACGTTTATGGTGCCCTTTATTCACCGACGTCAAAATCAGCACCGGCGTATGATAATGATATTTATGACTCTGCTGGTGGAACTATAATTGATGAAGATACGTACCAAGAACTAAATCAAACTGATCAGCGGTCTTCTGATATATATCAGCCAGTACGACCTCCAAGAAATACCATGGCCATGAAAAACATGTCTGGAATTACTCAGTCTCAGGCATAGCCGTTACCTAGTACTAATTTCAATGCCTGAGACACTTCCATATTAGGTTTCGACTACATGGATTAGAATAACAATATATAAAAAGTGCCATAAAACGCATCAGTGTACACGAGACTTTAGTCAATAGTGACGCTAAGGCTCGATAAGCTTGCTCGCAGCAAAAAGATTTAGTTCAGTTTTTCAGTTTCATATTTGATATACACCTATTTAAAAATACGTTGTCGGGGAGAACGGCGAACGGCGTTTATCGAATGGAGATTGCACGACCGAAAAGGACTATGGTTACACTGTTTTGACAAGCAAAATTTCACTTGATGGATTCACATCCCATAAAAATGGAGTCTTAATGGAGCCACTGTTTACCACAGACTATCTTACAGTACAAATAAGTTGTTATTTCCATTAAATTAGGAAAACACATAGTCTCTTTTGGTCGTTCGATCGACTTTCGACAATTATGACATTCGCCATTTTATCCGGCAACCTTTTTTGACATAGGTATATACAGCTACTGCATGGGCAAATGGATTGTAATTACAAATAACTAACATTGCCTTGATGATATGCTTTGTTAAAATCTTTCTATCATCATTTTTAACTCGACTTACCGTATCTATCTGAGAAATGATACGGCATGAAATTTATGAATAGCTGAGCAGCTGATGAGCATGTGCGCATATCAAATGAGTTCTGGCATGAACACAATGAAGAGAATGATAAAAATTGGCAGACTATTAATGTGTCATTATAATTCAAAATACAATTAAGTACATTATATATGTTTTCATAAGTTTATATGTTTCATAAGCTTTCATAAGCTTTGTTTTGAATGTACAAACAAAGACCAAAAATAGGTTTGGAGATGATCATACTTTGTTTGAGAAGTTCTGTCTACTATTATAAATATAACAATATATATAGGGAGGGTAGCTGATACTTAATTCAAAGAAAAAACAATCAGTTGAAAAAACAATCAGTTTGAAGATTTTGCTTTGAAGAACCCTAAATCAGCATGATTTCAAATAGCTTG